ACCAAATCCCACAACTGTCTCATTGTGTAATCTAAATAACCGCTTATTCCGTACTGTAAGTCCATTCGATAATCTCCAATGTTGTTTCTTGTTTAGTATGCACTAAAGCATAACGAATGCCTACGATCCACGGCTGGAGGGGGCGGGGGTAGGCGAGCTGGAGAGATGATGTAGACGGGTCACCGGGCACACTCCAACATTTTTCTGTTTACATCAGATTTGTATTACACGACTACTCGCACAAAAAGAAAAAAATAAGTGTATAGAAGACGTAATAATTTAATTACTCGAAAAATACGAATGCAAAGCAGTTACTACCCCATAGCTACGATTTCCCAGATATAGAGGACGCCAGCCTAAAACATTGTAAACTATGGATAGGGAACATTTAGATGAAACTACTGAAAACTAGTTTACTGTACAGCCTTATATTGATGTGCGTGCTCGACGCACTAGATTGTGTCGCTTTCAAAACTGTTCTATTGTTTCAATTTATTTTTGAAAAATCCCCGTTAATACAGGTAAAAAGTAATCAATGGTGGCTTCTTTATGTCGGCCGACATTATTTAAAAAAAGAAAATCGGCACACCTAAAAGAATCCAAACAAAACAAACTTAATTTCCTTATGTGGGCCGACTTCATAGGAAAAATCGTCACACTTAAAAGATGCCAAAGTCAGTTTTCGGGGTTGTTTGCTTTGTAATAAAATGATCTTTGTATTTGATATCCTGTCGGAAAGTTTAAGCAAAGAGTTTACTGCTCGTTTAAATTTGTGTTTATCCATCATCCGTGCATCTATTTGTTTCCCAGTAGTGATCAAAATTTATAGTTTGCAGGGCAAATAGTATACACAACAATAACGTGCTTTAATAACACTTTTGTAACCCATGCTAGCGAAAATATCATTTGCACTCACAGTGGATGTATTTTAAAATATTGATTTCCATTTGCGAGATACCGTCGTACAACACCATCTTAGTCAATTTGCACCTTGTAACGTCATGCGTGAATGGAAGATGCTTGCAAGCAGTCGAGTGATATTTTCGTCTCTTGTGAGATTTGACATAAGCGATATACTCTACAGGAAGAACGCATACGCAAACCGGTCATCCACTACATGGGAATATTTTCTTCGTGGGTATATTTTTCTCTTTAACAATTTTTTTTCGTTTTATTTTCAAATAAGTGTATATTTTATCATTTTATTAACTTGAGTGGAGAGACACAAATTCAACACAAAATTAATTCTTTTCTTATTTGTATGGAATTATAGAGCAAATATGATTATGTTGACTATATTAATGGTAAGCTTTTAATTTACGCACACACACACACACACTAAGACAACTTGAAAAATTAAAACAAAGAATAAAATTAACTGATAAAAGTTTCATATTGCAGCAAGACTGAAAAAACGATCAAATCAATCATTATTCTCTCTCTCTCTCTCTCTGTCTGTCTCTCTCTCTCTCTCTCTCTCTCTCTCTCTCTCTCTCTCTCTCTCTCTCTCTCTCTCTCTCTCTCTTGTGGAACTGAGTTGTATCAAATGCAGCAGTGTTACAGCGTGAAGCCTAAAATTAAATATTTTTTTAAAACTCTCATGTACATTACCCTTATAAAAAATGTATACATATTCTGTTGAATATTATCTGTTAAGTTTTATTGTTTAATAAATGAATTTTGATAATTTGACCAGAAGATTTAAATTGAGAATGTCGTTGTGCATATGCACATATTTATAGCATAAAAATGTATAGGAATATTTTATTTGGAATAAGTAAGATTTGTCTGATATTGTTTTCTTTCATATACGTACGCTGCAAAGTATCATTATTTTCTTTGAAAACAACATATGTTTCGGTTAAATTTAGTTTTTTTCCTAAAACCTAGTCCTAAAAAGTATCTTACATTGTATATGCTTGTTGATTTAAGAACAAAAATTGTTAAACCTAGAGTTAAGTTGAGCTGAATTGTCTTTCGAGTTGGGCCGAATAGTCTTGAGCCAAATTGACTGTAATCCGGCATTAATGATATAACTTTCCCATCCCCTCACCCTTTTCTATCTCACAGCTTGAATTCACTTTCTTTTCTTCTGAAAAAAAGATCTTTTGGGAAAAGAAAGAATCTTTGCCTCATTATCACTCTTTTGGGTACATCCATATGAAACACAGTGCACCATATTTGCTGTACAAAAGCACGATTGTAAGACATATCACAAAGACATTTACATTGGGAAATTAACCATTTCAATGCTTAATTTGAAAAGAAGGGATAAATGTACGTCATATCCGTGTTGGGCACGCGGAAACTACCGATTGTTTACAGAGATTGCCGAATAAATTTTTCATCTACTAAAGTGAATTTATAAGCCTAATTAAACACTTTTATGGAAGACAAACATAACAAATGCGTTTTGTTTATGACTATAATAATATCACACGATTGTACAATATAGGTGGCCGGTGACCTTTAAGTAAATGGGATAGATAAGCACAGTGTGAGTTAATTGCACCCATCCCCACAAAGATTACCTTGTGCTCCACCGAAAACCTGTTTAACCTCTAAACCACTAGTCTCGCGCAAAAATCAAAAGACATATCTGGCCGCGAGCACATTAATCTCGAGAGAGCGAATCTCGTTTTCAAATTCTCAAACGTCACAAATTATAATCGGTACTATCGGTAGTCAGCAACATTGGGGTCTTCCCAAATGTAAGCATGAACGCACTCATCACAGCAGTTGTTCAATGTTTGAATGTGTCTGTGAACAGGTGCGTGCGTGAATGTAATACACTTTAAAATAGTCTAGTTTATAATAGAACTAAATGATCATGGTTGAATACTCATCGATGTGTACATTTTACCAAATCACTCACAAAGTCAATAAAATTATCAACTTGTTAAAATTCCAGATCAGTATCACGTGACCGTTTATATCCAACCAAAAGGTAGGAAACGCTGTCAATTCATAAAAATTGAAATTATCATGGCGTTGCATATTCTATTTTAGAAAAATATTTTTAATAGATAGGACGCAGTTAAAGCACAGATCCAAAGTATTTTAGCATATATGTTTAATAGATAGGACGCAGTTCGAACGCAAATCCAAGGTATTTTCACATATATTTTTAATAGATAAGACGCAATTCAAACGCAAATTCAAATTTTACTCTTTTTATTATCGGAATCGTAGTCTTTGCATCGTTCTATCCGGACATATTGCCAATCCCACGCCTATCATTATACTTCATAATTTTAAACCGTCCCCCACCCTTTTTTTTGGATTTGAATGTGTCCTTCAGTTCCTTACGTTCTTCCTAACCAATTATAATAACAAGTTATATTTTATTGTCACATTATTGGCATTTTAGCTTTTAGGAACCGATTGGCAAAGCAGATTAACCTGGAGACATTAAACCTGTCAAAACAAATTATATAGGTATTTTTTTTACTGAACACGAATGAGCAATATAAAGATATTAACAATGAAAATAATTCTCTAGCAGAATTATTCATCTCCTTGTACGCCGTTATACGCCAAAGAAACAAAGGTATGATATTACTTCAACCTAAGGGCTGTGTCTGGCATGATGATTCGGCGGACAAAGAAGTCCTGATGTATGTATGTATGTATGTATGTATGTATGTATGTATGTATGTATGTATGTATGTATGTATGTATGTATGTATGTATGTATGTATGTATGTATGTATGTATGTATATGTGTGTGTGTGTATGCATGTATGTATGTATGTAGGTAGGTAGGTAGGTAGGTAGGTAGGTAGGTAGGTAGGTAGGTAGGCAGGCAGGCAGGCAGGCAGGCAGGCAGGTAGGTAGGTAGGTAGGCGTGCGTGCGTGCGTGCGTACGTACGTATGTATGTATATATCCAAGAATGAACGAATAAAAGACTGTATGTATCTTAACGAAATGATCATTTCATCGTGACAACCTAGGGGCAAAAATATGCTACCTTCTCTTGTCACCAGTGTTTGTCTGCAATATGATTTATTCGCGTTTAAGGAATATGCACAAAAACACGCTATCAACGAGAGATTGAAATAACTTCTTGTGCATGCTAAAGGTTGTAATTTAAAAAGTGAGTTTTGGATAGAACATCTTATTTCAAACAGTAAGAATAGTCATATTGGGTCAAATCTCAATGACTGGTTCAATCAGTACGATTGGTCATGTTGGGTCAAATCTCAATGACTGGTTCAATCAGTACGATTGGTCATGTTGGGTCAAATCTCAATGACTGGTTCAATCAGTACGATTGGTCATGTTGGGTCAAATCTCAATGACTGGTTCAATCAGTACGATTGGTCATGTTGGGTCAATCAGTACGATTGGTCATGTTGGGTCAAATCTCAATGACAGGTTCAATCAGTACGATTGGTCATGTTGGGTCAAATCTCAATGACTGGTTCAATCAGTACGATTGGTCATGTTGGGTCAAATCTCAATGACTGGTTCAATCAGTACGATTGGTCATGTTGGGTCAAATCTCAATGACAGGTTCAATCAGTACGATTGGTCATGTTGGGTCAAATCTCAATGACTGGTTCAATCAGTACGATTGGTCATGCTGGGTCAAATCTCAATGACTGGTTAAATAAATACGATTGGTCGTGTTGGGTCAAATCTCAATGACTGGTTCAATCAGTACGATTGGTCATGTTGGGTCAAATCTTAATGACTGGTTCAATCAGTACGATTGGTCATGTTGGTTCTAGTCTTAATGGCTACTTTAAAAGTGATGTGATGTGATTATGATTTTTAACGTACCTTTAACACTTTTTTAGTCATATCGGTTCGATCTCTGCAGTGTGGCAGTTTATAGAGATGTCTAGCACCGGGGCATCATTCTGCAGATATGAAGCAAGATGTCCCCACCCAGTCACATTATCCTGACACCAGGCCGACCAGTGCTAACACTAACCTCATAATCCTGAGCGTTAAGCGAGGCAGCTGTTACTACCATTTTTGTAAGTCTTTGGTATGACTCAACCTGGGATCGAATCCGCGACCTCCTGCATTCGAGGCGGACGCTCTAACCACTAGGCCACCGGAGTGGTTACTTACTTCAAAAGTACGAATTGCCATGTTGCATCCACCTTATGCAAAAACAAAATTAACTCACAATGACTATTGAGGTAGGGCTCTGGCTCACAATGACTATTGAGGTAGGTTTCGACCAGTTCTGGAGAACTGTCTGGCTCGCAATGACTACTGAGGTAGGTTCCAACCAGTTCTGGAGTACTGTCTGGCTCACAATGACTACTGAGGTAGGTTCCTACCAGTTCTGGAAAACTGTCTGGCTCACAATGACTACTGAGGTAGGTTTCTACCAGTTCTGGAGAACTGTCTGGCTCACCATAACTACTGAGGTAGGTTTCTACCAGTTCTGGAGAACTGTCTGGCTCACAATGACTACTGAGGTAGGTTCATACCACTTCTGGAGAACTGTCTGGCTCACAATGACTACTGAGGTAGGTTTTTACCAGTTCTGAAAAACTGTCTGGCTCACAATGACTACTGAGGTAGGTTTCTACCAGATCTGGAGAACTGTCTGGCTCACAATGACTACTGAGGTAGATTCCTACCAGTTCTGGATAACTGTCTGGCTCACAATGACTACTGAGGTAGGTTTCTACCAGTTCTGGAGAACTGTCTGGCTCACAATGACTACTGAGGTAGGTTCCTACCAGTTCTGGAGGACTGCCTGGCTCACAATGACTGTTGAGGTAGGTTTCGACCAGTTCTGGAGAACTGTCTGGCTCACAATGACTACTGAGGTAGGTTCCTACCAGTTCTGGAGAACTGTCTGGCTCACAATGACTACTGAGGTAGGTTTCTACCAGTTCTGGAGAACTGTCTGGCTCACAATGACTACTGAGGTAGGTTCCTACCAGTGCTGGAGAACTGTCTTGCTCACAATGACTACTGAGGTAGGTTTCTACCAGTTCTGGAGAACTGTCTGGCTCACAATGACTACTGAGGTAGGTTTCTACCAGTTCTGGAGAACTGATGAATCTTATATCAGGAAGCTACAAGTGCAATGAGAGATCTCAACGGAAGTTTGCCCTCTACTTGCTACACTTATGTCACTGTAGTTCATCGTTGAGCACATTCCTGCCAGAAACAATATATCACCTGAACATCAGGGTCGCACAAGAACTTTTAGAAAAACAATTTTAAAAAGTATGGATTAGATAGAGGAATAACTATGGGATTAAGAATAATGTAATTCATCTCATTCCCATGAATACTTAGCTTTTTCAAATTTTATCAAAATCCATTTCTCTTAGCAAACGTTCAGATTATCAAAATAGTTGTTATTGGCATGTATATGTAACCAAGAAGTGTTGGATGCTTTTCTTTAAAACTTCACATCAAAATTTCTTGTTTGGTTGTCTCTACTTCAAATCTGTACTCGATCTCTGCCTCTACGCTGGCCTAGTGAATTTCTTGAAAAAAATGGCTTGGACCGAATATTGGCACGTGCGTGACGTGATATCAGTAGGTAGGTGAGAACAAGTTGCATGTGCGTTCTTGTATTTGTACAAATTAATTAATACAAGTACTTTAGATATATATGACAACCATAAACCCAAATAGTTACTGCATGAACAAATTCAGAATGTCTGGTCTGTTAACGTAAAGACATTAGATAAACGTTTATTGATAATTTTAGAATCTGAGTAACCTGGATCTCCTACAACTCAATAAAACAAAATAAACCCCGCTAAATAACAAACATTTATTAGATATAAGTAAATCGTGCTATGTTATCCATCTTGTGGATAATATCTGATCATTTGCATCACACATTAGACGGAGATCAAACACTAAACATTATACTATCACAAGAACACTAGATGTTTTATATTACCACACGAACAATAGATACGATATTAACACAGGAACATTAGACGCTAAATTATCACACATCAACTACACATTATATTATCAAAGAAACACTAGATATTATATTATTAAGCTAATATTATACATTACATAGCAAAACTAACACAAGACATTCTTTATCAAAATAACACTAGACATTATATAATCAAACTAGCACGTGACATTATATAATCAAACCAACACTAGACACTATATTATCAAAGGAACACTAGACATTTTATTATCAAACTAACACTAGACATTTTATTATCAAAGGAACACTAGACATTATATTATCAAAGGAACACTAGACATTATATTATCAAACTAACAATATAATTCTATGATCAGTCCAACACTAGACATTATATAATATAATACTAGACATTGTATTATCAAAGGAACACTAGACATCATATTATCAAACTAACAATATAATTCTATAATCAGTCCAACACTAGACATTATATAATCAAACTAACATTAGATGTTATTTATCAAACTAACACTAGACATAATATATTCAAACTAACACTATACATTACATTATCAAAGGATCACTACACATTATATACTCAAACTATCACTAGACCTTATATAATCACACATACACTAGACATATTATCAAAGGAACACTAGGCATCTTATAATCACTAACACTTGGTATTATATAATCAAACCAACATTAGACATTATATTATCAAAGAAATACTAGAAAGTATATTATCAAGCTAACAATAGACATTATATTATCAAAAGAACACTAGACATTATATAATCAAACTAACACTAGACATTATATAATCAAACTAACACTAGACATTATATTATCAAACTAGCACTAGACATGAAATAATCAAACTAGCACTAGACATTATATTATCAAACTAGCACTAGACATTAGATTATCAAACTAGCACTAGACATTATATTATCAAACTAACACTAGACATTATAAAATAAAACACTAACCATACTGTCAAACTAACACTAAATATTATATTATCAAACAAACACTAGATATAATATTATGAAAGGAGCACTAGACATTATACTATCAAACTAGCACTAGACATGAAATAATCAAACTAGCACTAGACATGAAATAATCAATCTAGCACTAGACATTATATTATCAAACTAGCACTAGACATTATATTATCAATCTAGCACTAGACATTATATTATCAATCTAGCACTAGACATTATAATATCAAACTAGCACTAGACATTATATTATCAAACTAGCACAAGACATTATATTATCAAACTAGCACTATACATTATATTATCAAACTAACACTAGACATTATAAAATAAAACACTAACCATACTGTCAAACTAACACTAAATATTATATTATCAAACAAACACTAGATATAATATTATGAAAGGAGCACTAGACATTATATAATCAAACTAACACTAGACATTGCATAATCAAACTAAAACTAGACAATATATTATCAAAGGAAATAAACTTTATATTATAAAACTAACACTAGACATCATATTATTAAAGGAACTCTAGACCTTATATTATCAAGGATCACTAGGAAATATATTATCAAACTAAAACTAGATATTATATTATCAAAGGAACACTATATATTATATTATGAAACTATTTGTAGACATTATGGAATTAACCAAATACTAAACATTATTTATCAAACTAACACTAGACATTATATAATCAAACCAACACAAGACATTATTTAATCAAACAAACACCAGACAATATATAATCAAACTAAAACTAGACATTATTTAATCAAACTAACACTAGACATTTTATAATCAAACTAACACTATACATTATATAATAAAACCAACACTAGACATTATTTAATCAAATAAACACCAGACAATATATAATCAAACTAGCACTAGACAATATATAATCAAACTAAAACTAGACATTATTTAATCAAACTAACAATTGACAATATATAATCAAGCTAACACTAAAACATTATATAATGAAACTAAGACGACTTTATATTATCAAACTAACCATGGACAATTTTTTAATCAAACTAACACTAGACATTATATTATAACAGGAACTCTAGACATTACATTATCGAAGGAACACTAAACATTATATAATCAAACTAACGCGAGGCATTATTTATCAAAGAAACACAAGCATTATATTATCACACGAAACAAATAAGAGAGACGCTTCTTCTTCTTCTTCTTCTTCTTCTTCTAATTATTATTATTATTATTATTATTATTATTATTATTATTATTATTATTATTATTATTATTATTATTATTATTATTATTATTATTATTATTAATTTTATACGGGTTACCAGAAGCATACATTGTCATTTGGTTGATCATTCCAGTTATTAGTCAGTCTGTGTTGTTTTGACTCTGTCAGTTAGTCTAGTAAAAGTTTTTCCAAATAATGTGTTACATTGACAAATGTAATGTCTTGTATGTGTTCTAGTTATAACAGTAATATTCAGTATGTAATACAACTATATGTGTTATTACATTATTATACAGTATTTAATACAACCGTATAAATTTTTAATAGAATAATTGTTATAATAATAATAATAATAATAATAATAATAATAAAAATAATAATAATAATAATAATAATAATAATAATAATAATAATGATAATAATAATAATAATAATAATAATAATAATAATAACAATAATAATGATAATAAAATAATAATAATAATAATAATAATAATAATAATAATAATAATAATTATTATTATTAATATTATTATTATTATTATTATTATTATTATTATTATTATTATTATTATTATTATCATTATTTTTATAGTTTATGCTCTAAAATCAGTCTTTGCAATTACTTCATCAGTGTTGGCATATTCTATCACTCTTTTTCTAAATGATTTTTGTTCTGTTTGCTTTCTTAACAAAGAAGCCGTTATATTACATGAACATGGTGATTCAAACCAGCTATCGAGTGTCAGCAAAGTGCATTGTGGCTATAACCTATGATTCTCAGTCTAATAATTTGCATCCAGAAATGTGATCATTGTATCTCAATGGACCAAATTACATGTGCTAAAATCATTAGACAGTTTGAGGTGTCTAGATTATGCTTGTTCGAAGACCGTACTAGCATACTCTTCTTGTAAGACATGATATAATTTAGCACAAA